AAGCGCAACGGAATATAGGCCTAACGAAATGTAGGCACAAAGGAATGCGATCGAAACGAACTGTAAGCACAACGAAATGGGGACGCATTGGCATGTAGGCACAACGAAATGTGAGTGGAACGGAATGTAGGCCTAACGAAATGTCAGCGAATCAAGATGTAGGCACGATGAAATGAAAGCGCAACAGAATGTAGGCCTGACGAAATGTTGTCACAACGGGGTGTAGTCGAAATGAAATGTGGAAGCGCAACGAAATGTAGTCCTATCAAAATGTAGGCACGACGGAATTTAAATGGAACGGATGTGGGCACAATGAAATGTTGGCACATCGTTATGTCGCGATGAGTGTTACATCACTCATCGCGACATAACATTGAATACAAAATTAATGTCATCGCACTCATCATTACAAAATTCCTCAACTATCTCCCCCATGACTGCATAGCCGTTGCTTCAGTTCATTTCATTAGGTGTACTTTTATATGGAAAGTGCCAGGTAACACGGAACTCTCCGCGATATCTCTAAGTAGTTATCTTCAGGATCAAAATGCGAAATCCTCCTGCGAGGTGACAAAGATCACTATAGGCTCTCACCATGGGAAATACTCTCTGAAGTCGTCCGTAAGAATTCGCGGAGATCTTCCTAATGGCTTATGAAGAATGTGATTTATTTGGCAGCCCAATTTTTTATTTTCTAGTAGCATATTGTTTCTGAAAATTGCGTGTCAATCTATTTGGAATACAACGATATATCACATACTTGGTGTTTTGTTCTTGATAGCCACAAAAACATGAACATTTTGTGACTTTTTTACGTTACTCAAATGACAAATTGCTTTCATCCATGTGTTCAAGAAGTTCACAGATAAGAAGTATAGATTGAATTTTTGTTTCAAAATATTAATGACAGATATTCCATCTTGAACTGCAGAACATCAATCATTGCAGACGGTACCAACCTAGTGTAATAATTAATCGAATTTTTTGTAAGACATTTTTACGAACATGGAAGGAGAAAATTTTCAATCGATGTAACGTGAATGAGGTCAAAAAAATTTATTGTTAATGTTGTTTGAACAAAATACAAAGTACTGATGTGCTATCGTTCATTCTCGAAATAGGATGATAGGCATTTTTCAATGACAATATACAGGGAGTCCATTCAATAAAAATTGAGTAGTTGCTACCAGGTGGCTGTCCCATCAAATACACTATTTTTTGAGTCATAAAGAAAGTTGTCTGATGTCATTTGGAGCATTTTTACTATTTTTTGTTCATCTTGTCGAGTAAGCATTAGATACTAGATTTCCTTACTGGCTCAGAGAATGTGTTCAACAGGTCATATTATTATCTCTCCGCAATTATGGTAGATTATTTCAAATTTTGCAGTAAATCAATGATAATCAATTATCTGCTCTGACGAGAAAGAAAAAAATGTTCCAATTCAGGTGGGATCGAGAATCAGATATCTACCTCAAATTCGTGGATAGATATCGGGCGACCTTTTTTTTTGAAGAATACCCGGCCAACTCCTCGGAGATGAAGTTCACTTGATCAATGTCTTGCTATAGAATAATATATAATTAGAGCTCATAACTTTGATCTAACTCTGAGTTTAGTAACTCAATCTTTTTCGCTGAAACAAATATCCAGTGAATTTAACTTCACCCCAAACAATATAGCTGGCGCTAGTTAGACTTCGCCGACAGGAGACTGCTGATAACAAATGACTTTCCAAAAATTGAACACCTTACCATATCAGTGGCGATCATGTGGCGAATGATGCAAATATCGCTCTTGAAGGCCTCGTTATAAGGCGATGTGCACGGATTCTTGAACAATTCATAGTTGCGCTCACTTGAAGAGTTCGTTATTAGTTATTGATGCGAATCTCCCAATGTCCTCGTCACAAAGCAATGTATGCGAATTTCTCAAACAGCTCATGATTGCGAGCACTTTCAGTTCTCGCCAGTGGCGATCGAAGCGTATATCTCAAAGTGCGCGCCTGAAGGCATTGTATGAGAATTTCTGCGTGCGATATCTTCAAGACCTCGCTGAGCTCAGCCTAGGTTGTGGACATTTGACGTAAATCAAAGTTACAAAAGACATCACAATTTCCTAGAAGGATTTCTTCAAGATATCTTCAGGACCTCTTTTTGCTGGCTGGGGTGTTATAACCGCAACCTACTTGGTTCTGATTCAATACTTCATTGAATCATCTAATCATATATATATGATATGACTGTGATCTAATATTCGATATTGGGAGTCTCCTTTCATAAGTGAATTCACATGGTTTGCGCTTCCTGCTAACACTAGATCCAGATGTCATGATTATATTTTCTTCTGCATTTTCTTAATGAGTAGGATTGGCAGGTGCTATTGTTCAATGATGTGGATTTGGCTTCCTGATTCTCAATTAGTTATATTATCTCCATGATTTATCAGACTCCCATGTCGAAGGTTTTCCATGATGTATTTTACAAAAACTTTACCTCCATCATTGAAAACTTCCAATTGCGATCTATGTTTTTTGTTTTGATGATTCGAATTATTTTCTGAAGAGTTTTATTCACAAGGTATAGGTAACAGCTCGTTGAAGGTTTTCTTCTCAACGTCATTTCTGAAGAAGATGTTTCAGCTGGTGTATTTCTAAATGGAGTCAGTCTATAGATAGGCAGGAATATTTGAATCTGCTGACGCAACGATGATTCTTTCGATTTAATCTCTCTGATTCCTCCTTCAAAAGTAACAGCTATGCGCTATGCTTGTTTATTCGACTGTGAAGTATATTGCGCCAAGTCAAGATGTTGTATGCCATTCTGAATACAGAATGATCCACAATTATTGCTTGTGAATTTTGTTCCGTTGTCTGTAACGATAACTAGTGGAATTGAGAATCTTAGAAAAACTTCTAGTATTCTCAAGGTGTATGTAGTAGTCCTCGTTCTGATCTTCAACATTTCTGACCAATTCGAATAGGCTCTCACGATTTCAATGCAGTATTCACCATCCAGTGGACCAGCATGATTCATGTGGAGACTTTCTCAACTTCTAGGATGACAAATGTATTTTGAGGAAATTTCAGATGTCCTGATCTATATTGTACCAGTGGAAATGACTCCTCGCGATGAATCTTATCTGATCTCTACCAGGATCATCATCATGTAGCTATTGCAGTATTTTTTTCTGGAATACTTTCGATTTCATCACTTCTTTCTCGAACATTGGAAAGCCTTGAATTACAGATGATGACTTTCTTTCTGTATGAAATATCAGAAGCATGTCCAAGATCTCACTTCCCTCTGGTCAAATTCATTTCTCGATGTATTTCAGGATTTCTTATAGGTTTTGATTCTTCGCTGTTCATGCGAGATCATTTTGTGACTCACTGAAAAACCTTGCATTTCATAATCATAGTATGAAAAACGTTTTAGCTCTCAAGTTTATCACCAAAATTATATCATATCCTTCACCGTCTTGACTTGCCTCAGTCTTGATAAGTCGAGGAAGTTTGTCTGCATAACCAGAATCATCCGTTTTGATGTTTTGAATATCAAAATCATATGCCTATGGAATAAGTTAGTGCCTACCGTGGTGAACAATGATTTATGATTAGTCTGAGAAGTGAACTTCACACCATGCTCAAGATTCTTCTTCCATTTGACTATACTTTTTCTCGGTATAAGTCAACTTGCTCTGAATATGATACACTGCCATTCTGGAACCATCTTCATATTCACGATAGATACTGTCATATATGTCATGAGGGCCGTCACTCACAGGACAACTGACGTGGGTGACAAGACAACTGACATGAGTGACAAGACAACTGACGTGACTGTCAGTCAAAGGATGTGACGAAGGCGGTAGTGACGAGCCAGTAGAAAAAGAAGCACATGGTGATGAATGAAACTCAACACCCAATAAAGTATAATTCATTTCATACGACCAATATTATTGCACATGTAACAGAATATCCTAGTATATAACAGATTCACGCACCGGTACTAATTCTCGAAACATCAGCACTCAGTAGCTACGACAATCTTCAAAAGTGGATTTAGGTGGGTGAACAAGAGATCTGATTGGAAAAAATCTGCGAACTCATCGAATCCATCCAGAAATTCCTCTATCGATTTTCATTGAAAGTTCGACTCGAACAATTCATCTGATGAATATCGTGAGTCATGAAATCATTTGTTGATTTCACCATAATGATTCACGGCTTCCAGGTGAAACAGTGATGTCGTTTTGTTATTTGGTGGTGGCATACGGATGATGGCTTTTGTTTCAACGGGATGTTTTCTGAACATCTGATCTCGTCAACATCGAATTTAAACTTTCAAATGTGAAGATAGAAACATAGATATTCTGACAGAAATCAAGCAAGACCCATACAGAGAAATTTAGTAGTCTAGAGAAAGCTTTAATTTTCAGATGGACGATCCAGAAATTATTCCAGGTGTACAGGTGTAATAATCGAGTGATAATAATTTATCATTTCGTCCTAGTTTCAGGACCAGGTTCACCTGAGTTCAACATACCCCTGAATGATATTTCACATTCTATTCCGAAGGAAACACCAGAAAAATTGCGTTTTTGTTGAACTGTTTGTCAAATTATCCTAGACTCATCTCGTATTGAATCTGATGCGCAACTGATCATGAGCACCTCAAGAAACGTTCGAACAATTTGGAATGCACACAAACTTTATAACAACTGCATTGTGAGTGAAAATGTTAGTAATATGAGCAGAGATTATTGATATTCCGCTTTGATTCTCCGATTTCACCAAGGAAAAATGCGAAGCATCAATCAAATGATATGAAAAAAAAAAACATTTCTTCACATCTAAATTGTCTTATTGATCTTCAGTTAGCGGAGTCATTTAATATACCAAATTTGATCGTTCGAATATTCAATTTGGATAGATGAATATCACTTCATGTTCGTAGGCATTATGCATGTGAATCTACTCATTTCATTTCTGAACTTACTCGCAGCTTCAAGTCTCTTCAAACTTCTTGATGTGGGAATATATATCATGCGAAGAACTACCAATACCGCCAGGAGGGCAATGGATGGATATATAAATTTCCAATTGACTGATGCTATCAGTCCGATGGTCCCAAATAGAGCAAAACTGATCTGGAATTGACATGAATGAATGAATATCGTGATAAATACCTGCATCAGAAACTGGCTTGATTCTTCAGATATTATGATATCACATGTGAGCAGTACCTAGCAGTATCTGTATTCGATAATTCATTCTCTATTTCTCTCCATTGACTTGTTCGTTACTTGATGGAATTCCGTCATGAATGACAAGAAGATGTCATATATGCCACAGACGACGAGATTTCGACAAAATCCTCAAAAATAGCTGTTTTGCTAATAATACATGAATTCATGAATGTATTCACGATGAAATCAGTACCAATGGTGCGGCATTCCAGATATGTCATTTACTTCACTAACACCTTCGGTGAACAATTCAGTATTCGAATTCACCAGCTCGATTGGTGGAAATTACGAAATCAGATTCACTATCATCATCATCAAATCATCAAAATACTTTATTGTCTGAAGATAGATACATCTTATTGACAAAGTCTGGAATCTTAAATTTAAATTTAAAAGTTGATAGTTCCAATATACACACAAATGTTGAAAATAGTTTTTTGGACAATACACAAGATAGTCAATCAATAATACAAATAAAAATGAAAAAATTTTTGTCGACACATCATCAAATATATATATATACCGGATGGCTACGGAAGTATTGCCTACGGAATATCTCAGTTATTGTATGAAGTAGGTTTGTGAAATTTGGAGCGTCGATATAATGACATAAGAGCTAGAATTTGAGCATATTGACATGTCGAAGTCAACTTCCGGTCTGACCGGAAGTAACATCAACTTTCTTATTTTAAATGGAAACCATATTCTTTCATCTTTTCGCTTTATTCAGCATTCAATTCCCTTTCTAATGACATATCACAAGTTGATATCTAACCAGAAACTAGATCAGAAGAAAAATATCATTGAATTCCACCGATAATCTGTTTTGTTATTTAAAGAATAATAATTGGATATTTTGGTATTTCATTTCAAAAAATTACTTTTTATTATATCATTAGGAAGGAATGGTTATGCTGAATAGTATAGGTAGGAAAAAGTTGTATGTTCCTATTCAATTTATGGACCTACAGAGTATTGTTTTTTTCCCAACTTTTCCAATATTTTTTTTGGCGGTTTTTTATAACGCCGACGAATAAAAATAAAATATCACCGTAGTAGCAACTGTTATCAAGTGACGTATGGTTTCCATAGCCAACTTTTCAATTTTTGGCTTTCATTTTGCTTCCACGGCCTACTCGGTGAATTTCAATAATAATTTTTTTCTTATCTAGTTTCTGGTTAGATACCAACTTGTGACATGTCATTAGAAAGGGAATTGAATGCTGAATAAAGCGAAAAGATGAAAGAATATGGTTTCCGTTTAAAATAAGAAAGTTGATGTTACTTCCGGTCAGACCGGAAGTTGACTTCGACATGTCAATATGCTCAAATTCTAGCTCTCATGTCATTATATCGACGCTCCAAATTTCACAAACCTTCTTTATACAATAACTGATATATTCCGTAGGCAATACTTCCGTAGCCACCCGGTATACTTTACTTCATACTCTGGCTCTGTGTTCATACACACTATCTTTCTTTTTTATATATATATATCTATATATATATATATATATATATATATATATATATCGACTAGTAAATAGTGAGGTTTTGCAGCAAGTAAAAGAGAACTCTTTGAAGATTATCCAAGCTTTCGGAATTTAATTGATTCCATCATCAGGGCATACTACAATAATTATTGTCAGTGATAATATAAAAGTCAAAATTAAATTGTACTTACATCTACGTGAGGATGATTACTATGATGTTAACAATAATTTTCAAAAATGAATTGTGATACATCATCCAGGAACGAAGTTGTTTGTAAAGTTGTAAAACAATTAACAATTAAAATAAAACAGTAGTAAAGTTACAATCACACATGTTAAAAACTTGAACTTGAACTTGAACTTGAGCTAGCTAGTCATGGACACCATGTGGCCGGATATGAAAAAATTAATGAATGAATGACAATTGAAAATTAGGTTAGAATGTTGACAGTATTGACAAGACAAGTACTATCAGTAGTACCAACTATTGTACCAACCGTAAAAATTGTGGCAATTTTGAAAATGATGAAATGGAAGTTATAATTCAGAATTATCAATGGAGTTAACCCTGAAGGGGTTGATGTCTAATGTCAATAAATAGGCATAAATTTCACTTAGATAGTTGATGTCTGTTTTTTTATTCATATTGTTGGCCTCTTGATAGATGCAAGCCATTTCTAAAAAGGACCTTTTGGTCAAATTGTTCTCAGAAGCTAAGATTTTAACATTGTCATAATCCATATGATGGTCAAATTGGTTAACATGATCTGCTAGAGCACATCTTTCTGGGTGTAATCTACTATCACTTTTGTGTGAGGTAATTCTTGCCTTAAGGGCTCTTGATGTCTGACCAACATACGTTTTATCACAATTTTTGCACGGAATACTATATACCACATTCATTCGAGATGTCAATGGAATTTTATCTTTTACTTTTGTGTATATGGACCTAATAGTGAGAACTGTTTTATTAGCTATTTTGATGTTGGGTATATTAACAAAAATTCTAGCCAGTTTGGGTGTGATATCCTTTATGTAAGGCAATGATGTGTATAAAATTTGTTGTGGGGGAGTAACAGGCAATTGGATGTCAGTGGGAGTATGTTGAATTACAGGGGTGTCAGCTTCCAGTGTGGCAGAGTTATTGAATAATATATTTTTTATTAAGCTCGGAGGGTATGAATTATCTATGAATAGTTGTAAGAGAATATTGAGGTTTTTATTGTGAAACGAGGTGTCTGAGATTTTTAATACTCTATTTTTCATCTGTTTGATCAAGTTCACTTTCATTGACTTTTTGTGGTAGGATAGATAATTTATATATCTCCCTGAGTTGCATGGTTTCCTGTACCAATCAATCAAGATACTGTTGTCTGCAGTTCTAATGAACCTTGTGTCTAGAAAGGGTACGGATTGCTGGTTGTCTTCAATTTCTATTGTGAACTGAATGTAGGGATCAAAACTATTGAAAGTATCAAGAATCTCACTTGTACACTCTTTTGGTAACGCTACAATTATGTCATCGACATATTTTTTGATAAAGAATGGTGTAAATGATAAAACTGGAATAACTGTATCCAATATCTCATCCATCACATAAGCTGCTAGTATAGGAGAAATGGATGCTCCCATGGGAGTGCCAAAGGTTTGTTTAAAAAACATGTTATTAAAAGAGAATATGTGTTATCAAAGAGGAATGTTATTAATTTGGAAAAATATTCTTCACTGATGTTACAATGTGCACTGATACTCTCCCATTGCTTGTGTATTGCTCGCAAGCAGGCTTCGAGATAAACATTACTAAAAAGAGACACTACATCCAGACTGGCTATCACATAGTTGTGTGGAAGTAACATTTTATTAAATTTTTCTGAAACCTCGAATGAATCTTTGATATAATATTCGTTATCAAAATTGTATGCCTTGGTCAAGATGTTAGTTAGGTAGGAAGCAATAGCTTCTGTGGGTGCTCCAATGGAAGCTACAATTGGTCTAACCGATAACGTTGGTTTGTGAATCTTGGGCAAAGCATAAAATTTTGGAGAATTGCTGCTATAACAAGTCAGTTTCTTTTTAACTGAATCATCAATTTGATTATTATTGTGTAGTTCCTTTATGAGGTTATTGCTGACTCTCTGTATGGAATTTGTGGGATCTTTAGCGAGTTGGGTGTATGAAGAGTTGTTTAAAATGATATCATTTGACAAGCTTATGTATTGATCTTTTTCCATTATTACTGTTACATTACCTTTGTCAGAAGTAGTTAGTATCAAATTGGGATTATCTTTCAGGAATTTTCTTGATTTATGTAAAAGGTTTTGAAAAACTGATTGATGTTTGAATTGACATTGAATACTATTGGTGATGATATTCACTGCTCTTGCTATAGTAACACTTTTCTGATTATGATCTGTAATGGATGAAGTAATATAGTCTATATCTGCCAAAATGTTCTTAATAGAAATGTCCTTACCTATTCTTGGTTCAATGCTAAATTTCGGGCCTAATGACAGAAATTGTTGAATGTCCTCTGGTATGACTGTGTTAGAGATATTTTTTATCCACTTAGGGTTAGTTTTCAATTTGGTTTTTGACTGGATTTCTTTTAAGTTATTCAATTTTCTAATATTTTTGATTCTGACTCTATGAAAAAGTTTGTTATATGAGATCTGTTGTCTACCACTGAAGTTAAGAAAGGTAAGTTCATTCGTAAGTGAAATTATAGACTGTTTTAGTGACATTAGAGAGGATTCTAGTTTGTCAATAATTTTATGATTAGCTGTGATTTCAATATTTAAAAGTTTGATTCCTAACCTGTAGTTCTGTTCTTTGATGTTTGTATTAGCTTCCTGTCTTAATAATAGATTTTCTATGGGTCTAATGGTGGCAGTGATATGTGGTGGAAGTATGTGGTGTATTCTGCACTGAAGTAAGAAACATCTCCGATTGTATTCTTTTGCTAGTTTCATTTTGGTATTGGACCATAACTTCATGTTCCTCGATGCCATTTCACCAAATGTAGTACCGATGTATTGGTAGAACCCCATGCCTGTAGATTAGTAGAAGGGTAGTCGTTGCTGACTAGTTAGGTATCGACTAGTAAATAGTGAGGTTTTGCAGCAAGTAAAAGAGAACTCTTTGAAGATTATCCAAGCTTTCGGAATTTAATTGATTCCATCATCAGGGCATACTACAATAATTATTGTCAGTGATAATATAAAAGTCAAAATTAAATTGTACTTACATCTACGTGAGGATGATTACTATGATGTTAACAATAATTTTCAAAAATGAATTGTGATACATCATCCAGGAACGAAGTTGTTTGTAAAGTTGTAAAACAATTAACAATTAAAATAAAACAGTAGTAAAGTTACAATCACACATGTTAAAAACTTGAACTTGAAC